GCTTTCGTGGGTAAGAAACCCACTTCTTTAGATGCACCTGCATCTGAAGAAGTGAGGTTCTTACCCACGAAAGCTTATGCTCCCAGTACTTCTGTTAGTCTCAAAGGTGCCACAGGACCCTCTGTTGCTTTTTAGTAGGTAGGTGGTTACTGCAGCCCCAAGGCAAGTGAAGACAGGCAGGTGGTGAGCAGACTCAACGGGGGTGTGGACAGAGGGCTCCAACATAGCACCTCCTGCCCTCCCAGCAGCAACAGCAGAAGCCAGTAAGCAGCCTCTTTCTCCAGCACCAATGGGAAAAGGAAGTCCGTCCAGAGTGATATGCACATCCAGGAGCGCCACCAGCTTTTTTGCCGCCCTAGGTGGCAGAAGGTCCCGCCCCTGACAGAGGCAGCAGTAGGTCTGGCCGCTGCAGTCACTGCCCCCGAAATGTTAGTGCCCTAGGCAACCCGCCTACGTCGCCTAATGGGTTGCGCCGGCCTTTTCACAGGTGGTCACTAATTCTGTGTGTCCAAATTGATAGTCTTACTTGCAGGAGTTTTGGCACTCACAGCTGTAAATGAAGTCAATGGAGCTGTGGCTTTGAACACAAAATGCCATATAATGCTAAGTACTCCAAAAAAGTGAGGTCTTAACTGCGTCAAACTGGGCACCCAAGTTTAGTGGATACTGTTAACCTTAAGCTTTCTGTGCTTCAACTTGCCATCTGTAAAATGGGGATACTACTACTCCCTTTCCCCACTCCAATCTCACAGGGAAAATAAATTGATCAATGTTGTGAAGCACTCAGGTCTTACACTGATGAGCACCATGGAAGAGCCCACGATGGCATAATTCTGTACTGGAAGAAGGGTTTGAATAACGTGCTGTAAATAAAAAAAGACCTAGAGTCACATATTGAACAATGAGAACAAGAAGATATTGAGCATCCTGTTCACTAAGCCAGGCAATCACATGCAGGAGAAGGAGCGTGTTCAGTGTGCACAGAATCTTTGGCAATTTTAGCAGCTAAAATCTTAAAGAACTCTATGAGGATGTGTAAAACAGGTTTTCCCAAAGGCTTCTAACTTGGCCAAGTTTGGATGGATTTTCAGAGGATCAGTAAGAGGCACATCCCTGACACAAAAGCCATCCACCAGCCAAATTTTAAGTCCCTGCTCCAAAGCATGTGGGCATTAGAGTTTCTCAGAAAAGTAAATCAGAATTTTTTGAAATGGTAGAAAAGCGTATTTTTCCTTAGCCTTGTTCTCAAACAGGTGAGTTGTTTTGCCCTGAAATTTAAAAAAAAAAACAAAACAAAAAACTTTAGCCCGAAGTACACAATTTCAACCCAAATGGCTTAAGTTTTGACAAAAAATAAGCAACTCAGAACAGTCTTATAATGGGAAATGTTAGGCAACTTTAGGTAGTGCTACCATACCAGCCCCACCATAAGTAGATCCCCATAAAAGTAGATCCGATACTCTCTTTTTTTTGGGGAAGGATTTTAAAAGAGTAAACTATCAAAGGTTAGTATGACCAAGAGTGTTCTGGACAACTTTTTAAAGTATGTTACATTTACTTTGTAGAATGGAAGCCAGTGATTATGCCAAGGGGTAGCTGGCACCTCCCCCCAAAATAGTTTTCTACCCCTTCTGCCTGAAGAAATAGAATAGTAAGGGAGCAAACCGCTTCTGCTGCTGTGATATACGAGGTGTGACTGTGGAAGTGATTGTTTGTATTTCACTAAACAGGTACTTCCTTACCTCAGAGGACAGGAGACTGCTGCTGAAATGCACAGCCTATAGGACAAATACCATCTGAAGTGATATTTCAACTAATTACCATTTCTGCATCCCTGCTTGATTGGGGAATATCCCTGAGGGCTATGACGCTGCAATTGCGCTGCTATGACGCTGACAGAGGCACCCGGTCTTCCTCTTCCCACCCCAGCAAACAGAAGCCGGAGGAGTTAGCTAGGAGGGACGCTGCTCTCAGCCTGGCCAGATCCCTTAGGTACTGGGCCAGGCCCAGGCCAGTCCACATGCAGGGGGCAGGTGCAGTTACATCCACCCACCCACCACTAGCCCAAAACAGTAGCTTGCAAGAGGGGCCTGGGACCCACCTGTGAAACCCTTATTTCTGTATACAACTGAAAAAATATCAAGTGATCATTGACAATTTCAGAACTTCTGAAAACAAAATGCAAAGAAAAGCAGCTACTCTAAAATTTGCCACAACTCACCATCAACTTCAGAAATAGGCCTAACGTTGGAAAAGCCAGCAGAAGAGCGCTCTACCAGCATAACCTCTGAACTCTGTACCTTAGTATGTCTACACTACAGTCAGGATCAACGCTCGGAGATAGATCCACCCGTGGTCGATTTAGCTGGAGTTGCGTTGCATAGGTCAACTTACCGCGGTAGTGTAAACATAGCCTTAGATAATGACAAAGATGGTATCAGAAGAATCTGAAGTAGAACATTCAGCATCAGATTCACCACCAGATGATGAAGACGTGGAAGGAAATGACTGGGTAATATGGTGAACAGAAGCTGAAATGGAACCTACTTGATAAGGTCATCCCAGGGAATAAGATTCCACCAGGACCAAGTGATATTGTGCAAGTTGTATCTGATGGCCCAAAGCAACCACACCTAAGATCTTATCCTCAAATAAAATACAAGAACGAGTGTAAGCAGTTTCAAAAGAGCAGCTTTGTTTATGTTCATGGATTGAATATAGCAAAAATACCAAATGCATCTTACTGCTTCCCTTACAGATTTTTTCCAACTCCACTGCTGTAGAAAAATCTGTTTATTGGTAATGGATTCAGCAACTGAAAAAAAAGCTCTGGCAAAGGATAGAGGATTCTAACAGGATGAAAATAGAATCACAAGAGCTGTCAAGTGGTATAGGTAGGCTTCATTCGAAGATATTCAGTCAAAACATGGTCTTTCAGTTCAGTCACAAATTACTGACACACATTTGATTTACTGCAAGAGAACTGCATGTATGTATATCAAAGTTGTGACAGATGTCCTGCAACTCACTGCAGTCTGGGGGATTGCTCAAAGAGAAAAAGAGAAAGCAGCAATGACAAGGACAACTTCCTGGAGCTTCTGACTAATAGCCAAATACAATGATGTGTTAAAGAAAACAAAGTGAACCATGCAATGCAAAATACACCCATTCATCAATACAATATGAAATCATTCAACATTCCTGACAATATACTTGAATGCATAAGCCAAGAAGTGAAAGGCTAATATTTTCTCTATATTGGTTGACAAAATTAAGGATTTTAGCAAAACAGTTGCATTGAGGTATTTGCATAGCACTGTATGACAGATTTTTTGGTTTCCATCCTGCCAAGTCACTTGATGCAAAGTCCTTAAATATGTGAAGAACATGGTCAGTGTGGTATTGATATACAGAACTGCATTTCTCAGACTTACGATGGTGCCAATATTATGAGTGGAAATTTTAGTGTGCAAGTTCCTAAGGGAAGAAGTACAGCAAACATTGCACATTCACTGTTTCAACCACAGACTCAAATTATTGTTAATGTATGCAAAGAAAACAAAACATTGGATATTCCCCCCCCCCATCCTGGATCAGATATACTCACTAAATTCATAGCCTTTCAAAAGAAAGTACAACCCAAACAGTTTTGGAATTGAAGTTGTGACATTCAATGGGCATGATAAGTTTCTGCTTGTAATGCTGTGAAAAAGACAGTTTAATCCATTCTTGTGTCACTAGCTGTATCAAGATATGTCAAGAGGTGACAGGGCAGTGGATGCACAAGGTGTTAGTGCAGACTGACTTTAAGAAGTTGAATTTTCCTTCACATCCAAAGGAGGACAATAAAGTTACCTGACTACTTGCAAGCAGCTGAGTGTGACTTGTCTCAGGTATGCTTATCTATGAACACTAATATCAGTGAATTTCTGAACATTAGTGATTTGGAAGATGCATCTGATGAAATATGGAATCAAGCCATTACAATCGCTTCCGAAAATTATTTCAAGCTACCTGAAGTTTGGGGAGTACATAGCTGTGTATGAATTGTGTGTGATTAGGTGGGATTATTCCTCCATCTAGTGCTGCCTGTGAGAGAATATTCTCATGCCTTCCATGTGTGAAAAATCACCTGAGGAACTGCATGACAGGTGATCGGCTAAGCTGAAGTCTCTTGAACTGAAGAGAGCTGTCAACAGATTTGCTGCTGCTCACAATAGGCACATCAAGCTTAAGGTGGTAAATTGTCAGACATTTATCCCCATTCTATAAAGTATGTGTAATAAAATCCTTGCTCCCCCAATAATGGCTTGTTACACCTTTGCTCCCTGAACTACTTATACTAGAGTTGCTCCTGCTGGAAACATATGTAATTCTGTCGACATGTTAATGATAGAAAGGTTAAAGGTGTCATTTGATTGAAATTATGATTGGTTTAAAAAAAAAAAAAATCAGTTATATCACCTTCCAGGGGGTGGGGAGAATGAGACCCATCTCTATCCCAGCTCCAGGTCCTTCTGTTGGTGGGAATTGATACTTTAAGGTCATTGGAAATGGACTGACTACAGTTTCATTTGAAAGCTCTTTCTCTCATGAACACAATGGTACTAAACATGACAAACCTAGAACAATTACATAGATATATATGAGAAAATATGTTTAAAAATGAATGTTTTTTAAATTATACTTTAATGCAGGCACAAACAGTTAAACTGTGGCCCTCAACTGACAGTATTGTGTTATCAGTTAATGCTCAGAACATGACACCATATATATTATTTATTTATATAAATAAAATTATTATAATGGAAAGAGTGCTTTAAGTTTATTTGCTATCAGTAAAAGAAGCAATTCAGTGGTACTGATTATCAGCTTAGTATATTATGCCAAGAGTTGTAATGAGGCACTGGTTAAAATATCAGCATCCAGCTAGAAATTAGTAGAATCCATCCACAAACAGTATGCACAGTTACATAAAACATACATTTAATAATTACAATCCCAAAAGAAATTAAAATTCCCTATCATTTTTAAGCATCACTGGGAAGATGGAACACTGACTAGTAGCTGAATCTTTAGAGAATACCACTCCAAAAGACCTGGTTAAAAACAATGCTTGGTGGCAACATCACATGCTACAACAAGCACACCCACAAACTGAATTTGGAAGGTTGGAAAGGAAGTACATTGAGTATCTGGGAAAAAGTTGAAGATGTCAGGCGAGTGCTAGCTGTGGGCAAGGCTTGCCTTATACTAGGTCTCATGGTATGATTTTCAAGAATAATTGCTTCTTGAAGGCAACCATTAAGCACACTTTCAACATGTGTAACAGGTGAGAAACAGCATGAAGCAAGAGCACTTCACAGAAAGTAAAGTTAAGTGAGGGTATTGATTCAAGATGCCCACACATACAATGAATATCACATTGAGCACTACATCAGGAATATATGTAATATGTTGCATCAGGAGGTAAAAGTAAACACACTGATTTTACAACTGTAAACTGTGTGACTGAGCTGGAGTTTATGAATTACCTTGCAGAGGTTCTAATGGGGAGAGGGGAAGTGATGGCGATGGCCAATGCACAGGCTAAGTATGTATAGAAAAATGTGGTTTGAATGGGAGTGAAGAACAAATGCTAAACAGAAAAACTTGAGTCTTCAAGAACCTAACTATGGGATATGGACATAATTTTTAGCAATCCTACCTACAGAAATAAGTCACAGTGCCTACGTCACATATTTGGCATGCTAAAGAACCATCTGTACCCAGAGTATGCCTATTAATGCCACTTGCCCACATATACAATTTCTCTCAAGTATGCACAGGCATTCACATCACTTTCATTAGACTTACTTTTAGGTCTTCAAGAGTTCACAGTACAAACTGGATGGAAGTCACTGCTGTAATGTTTTACTATTTCCTTCCTATATGGGACTAGTCACTGCTTCGGTGGCTTCTCAGATTTATTTTCTATACTTCACTGCTCAGGGATGAAGGCTACAGAAGCCACTTACCTGTACACACACCACAACATATGCTATGGTGTTGATTTGTGAGTTATTGTCCTAGTGATCAGCTTCCTTCTGCCTGAATTGTTACCATTTCTCAGAGGAGGCCCTCCTCTGAACATACTACCAGCTAACTTGAGACCAATATACAACCCCGACTGACCATCTGGGGAGATTAAGTGACCCAGAACAGCAGAAATTGGTCCAAAGGAAAATTCTGGTGTATGACCAACTGTTTAAGCAGCATGCTGAGAAGGGCGTAACTGAGAAACTAACAGTACAGAGAGATCAAAGGTCCAAATACACCAAGCCACCGGTCAACAGTAGGCTCAGGATTGACTATGTCCATTTCACAAGAGCTGGACCAAGTCTTTAGTACTTTCCGTTTCACCAACCAGAGATATATTGGACCAGTAGCTCTTAACCTTTCCAGACTATTAGACTCCTTTCAGGAGTCTGATTTCTCTTGCATACCCGCAAGTATCACCTCACTTAAGACCTACTTGCTTACAAAATCAGGCATGAGTGTCACAGCACACTATTACTGGAAAAAAAGAAGCTTACTTTCTCATTTTTACCATATAAAAATAAAATGTACATAAACAAGTTTTATGACATTTTAGTTTGTACTGACTTCACTAGTGCTTTTTATGTAGCCTGTTGTAAAATTAGGGCTGTCAATTAATGGCCGTTAACTCATGCAATTAACAAAAAAATTAATAGCTATTAAAAAAAATGATTAATAGCAGTTTTAATTGCATTGTTAAACAATAGATACCAATTGCAATATATTAAATATTTTGGATTTTTTTCTACATTTTCAAATATACTGATTTCAATTACAATGCAGAATATAAAGTGTACACTACTCACTTATTTGATTACAAATATTTGCACTTTAAAAACAAAAGGAACAGTATTTTTCAGTTCACCGCATACAAGTATTGTACTGCAATCTCTTTATGGTGAAAGTGTAACTTACAAATGTAGAATTATGTAGAAAAAAAAATAACTGCACTCAAAACCAAAAAAAGGTAAAACTTTAGAGCCTACAAGTCCACTCAGTCCTACATCTCATTCAGCCAATCACTCAGACAAATAAGTTTGTTTACATTTACGGGAGATAATGCTGCCCACTTCTTGTTCACAATGTTACCTGAAAGTGAGAACAGGCGTTCGCATGGCACTTTTGTAGCCAGCATTGCTAGGTATTTACATGCTAGATACGCTAAACATTCGTATGCCCCTTCATGCATTGGCCACCATTCCAGAGGACATGCTTCAAAGCTGATGCTTGTTTAATAAATGTGTTAATTAAAATTTGTGACTGAGCTCCTTGAGGAGAATTGTACGTCTCAGGCTTTATTTTACCCGCATTCTGCCATATTATCCGAGACTACTATAACATGAAATATGACTCAGCACATGCGATTCGTTTTAAGAACAGTTTCACTGCAGATCTGACAAAATGCAAAGATGGTACCAATGTGAGATTTCTAAAAATAGCTACAGCACTCGATGCCTTTCAAAATCTGAGAGGGACGAGGTGTGGAGCATGCTCCACAAGTCTTAAAAGAGCAACACTCCGATGCAGAAACTACAGAACCCCAGCCACCAAAAAAGAAAATAAACTTTCTGCTGGTGGCATCTGATTCAGATGATGAAAATGAACATGCACCAGTCTGCACTGCTTTGGATTGTTATCGAGAAGAACCAGTCATCAGCAGGGACGCATGTCCTCCAGAATGGTGACTGAAGCTTGAAAGGACATGAATCTTTAGCGCATCTGGAATGTAAATATCTTGCGACGCCGGCTACAAAAGTGCCATGCGAACACCTTTTCTCACTTTAAAGTGACACTGAACAAGAAGTGGGCAGCATTATCTCCTGCAAATATAAACAAACTTGTTTATCCGAGTGATTGGCTGAATGAGAAGTAGGACTAAGTTGACTTGTAGGCTTTAAAGTTTTACATTGTTTTGTTTTTGAGTGCAGTTTTTTGTTTTACATAATTCTACATTTGTAAGTTGCACTTTCAACATAAAGAGATTGCAGTACAGTACTTGTATGAGGTGAACTGAAAAATACTGTCTCTTGTTTTACAGTGCAAATATTTGTAATAAAAATAGAAAGGGAGCACTGTATTGTGTTATAATTGAAATCAATATATTTGAAAATGTAGAAAACATTCAAAAATATTTAAATAAATGGTATTCTATTATTGTTTAACAGTGTGATTAATCACAATTACTTTTTTTAATCGCTTGACAGCCCTGTGTAAAACTAGGCAAAATATCTAGATGACTTGATGTACCCCGGAAGACTTGTGTATTCCCGAGATTCTCAACCAGGAGTATGTGTACCATTGCATTAGACAGTATATTGGTTCCTTACAATGGAGTGGTGAGGGGAGGGGGAAGAACAATTTCTCTGAATTGGATAGGTCAGAGGGACAATTTCAGAAGTGCTAGATTTCTCCTAGTCTAGTCTTAGTGGTCTTTCAATAAAAGAATTAAACTGCTCAGAATCAAATTCCATACAAGTCAAGCCTGGACAGAATTGTCCTCTACTTATTCTTTTGAATTTGATCACTCTCTGAAAACAAGTAAACACAACAAAATGGTAAAAAGACACTTGCCTGGCAGTTGAAGTAAATACTTGTATGGCTCTAAAAGAATTCTTTCAGATGTTTCTTCCATTCCCTCCATTTCAAGAAGCAGTGTTTCACTCTGTCAAAGAAAGGAGACTTCTTAATACCACAATCAATGTTAGAGAATTAAAAAAATATATAATGGAAGCCAGCCCCTAATTCTAAGAAAGAAGGGAAGAGATAAGCATGCTTAAGGGATTTAGGACAAAGGCCCACTTAAAAAGTGTTGCTTGAAAGAAAACCATCGCTTTCTAACCATCACTGGCTTTACATTACAAAATAAAGTCAGCTTGCTGTTGCTTTATATACACTTTAACCAGCACATTTTAAAAACAGGGGAACTTGTTTTGATTTTTGAGAATTGAAATTCATTATAAACAATTTTAAAATCTGCTTTGATATTCAGGTTTTTAGACATTTTAGATATTCTGGCAAATGGGTATTTAAAAAACTAGCTAATAGAATCCCACACAACTATCAAGCACCATTATGTAGATATTTCTAAAAGTTAGAATCAGAATAATTCAAATTCTAAACATGTTTATGTCCAGGACCGAATACACACAATACACAAGTTTACTATAAGCTTCTGGATTAAAAATAAAACAGAAACTGAATTTTTAAGGCATATTTTAAAACACTTGAAATTTTTGGCTTACTTATTCTTTCATATTTGTTTTAAAATTCATACCATTTTGTCTGCTATGTCCTATTCTTTTATATCCGTTTAAGTGTTTGATTCTCTTTATCCTTGTTTTTTCTACCATGTATTCCATTTGTGTCTCAAGTTCTCTTACTGCCAGTTATGGATTTGTCTGTATATCTTATTCATCTTCTAATGTTCATTTCTCAGTTCATGTCCTCTCTCTCTCAGGCTCTCCATTTCTGTGACTTTTTTCAGATTTCTTTCTGTAATCCATTTTCCTTCCTCTCACCTTTCTTGCTGCACTGCAGATGCAGCAGCTCAAAACTCAATGCTTTTAATGTCATCTGAAGACTGGAACTGCAGTGGTAGTATGAAGTTTCGTTTTACTTCAGCAGCAGCTCTTGCCTGTTTAGAAGGCATCTTGCAAGGAGTGTTTTGCCTTAACAGTTGAAGAATGTTCTTGGCTACCAACCAAAAACCCTACTGCTAGATTTATAAGTGTAATGTACTCATTTTGAAAATAGGCATATGAAGGAGAGTGATCAAAATTTTTGCTAAAATGTAACTTTATTCCATTTACTATTTCCAGACAGTTTTCCTAGATGACTCTTGGTAACAGTTTTCCCCACATACACAGGAAAGACTTGCATTACAAAAAACATAAATTAACACTTAATGTAGCGCAGCCTCCTTAACAGTTAGTTAATTTAAGGGTAATCCAGACTGCAATACCCTTCCTCACGCTGAACCGAGTACCTTGCACCATCAGTCGCACCAAATTCAGTGGGAATACTTGCGAAGTAAGAATATCATAATCTTACCCCCAAAATAAGGATGGAATTGGGTAAAGAAATAGAGACTAGGGAAAAAAAGACAAAGGGAGATCCTGGAAAGGTGAGAAACAATTCTATGAACTGCATTATGCGATGCTATGAGTTTATCATATTGCCAAAAAACTATATTCAAATGGTTACCCAACACATGCCCTTTTTGTAAAAGCACAGGGCCAAAAGCTAAGATTCTGAAAGCTGTTAATTTCAGAGAATAAGAATTTGAAACTTTTAAGATTTTCCCCCAGATGTTTCCCAGAGCTATACAATATGCAGAGTTAGTTGCACACTCTTCTGCTACAGTAAGAGTATTTGGTAGTTATTGCAAAATGAGATTTCTAGAGAAAAATGGTTTTTCGATAGAGTTCTTCAAAAGGTGAGCATATAGGTTTACCCTCTTCAACACAAATATGTTGTTTTTGTGATGCCTTACGAAGTTCTCGATCAGATACAAGATATTCAGAAATTCCTACTTACACAGTGCCCCGCTCACTATGCAATGTCTTCAAACTGTTACATACGTGCCCAACCCTAATTCCCTCTGCCCTTTCACAACAAGAGGTCACTAGTTAAGACAGTTTCCCATACCGATCTGTAAGCCACTGGGTGGTCCATGGAGAAGATATCATTGCCTCTTTCTTGTTTCCAGATGCTTTTATGGGTGTCCAGACTAGGCTTGACAATCTGGTCAATTGAGCAGTCAAATAACATTAGCCAATCATCTATTTGATCAAGGTAAAATATTGTTATATATTCCACCAAGAATGCCCCAATGTAGCAGGTGACCTAACCTTTTGACTGCACCATAGAGCCATTCTTCAGAACTTCATTTTATTGAGTTTCACATTTTTCAGCGTTAAAATAACTCACCTAAGTAACTTGTTTTTTGTAATTAAGCATAAGAATTTAAAGGTAACCTTATTGGAAATCATACAGTATTCTTTTGGTACTGCTCTAATAGGTAACACTTTAAAATATCTGACCGTTTGACATTTGACAATATTTGACCAATTATTTTTGGACCAGTCAAATGCCCAACCTTAGATCAGACTATTTTTTGTCAAGAAGAGAAGGGAATCCTACAGAAGCAGCTGAAAAAAATAAAAGGCAGCTTAACTACTTATACAGAGAACAGGAACTGATGGTCAATGCCACAAGAAGAGCCCCATGAAGAGGAGAACAAAGCAGTCAGGCAATAGATCCACTGCAAGAGGGTCAAGTGGCAAGGCAACACATCCAGTAGAACAAAGAACAGAATGACAAGAAAGTCTGTGCAGGGGAAGGGGATTTAAAAAAAATAAAAATAAAAACAAAAACCATACAGGCAACAGAAGCATGTCCTCTTGCACAAGTGGCAGAGAAACTTGAACACTGAATAAGAGAAAAGAGTAACACTAGAAACTGGAGAGGGCAGATGAAGACTAAAAACAA